AACTTACAAAGTCATCATTAAGAAGGCAAAACACTGACAATTTTGTATTGATTTCTGATCTACGTGTGGTATTGAAAAAAAAATTGCAAAAGTACATTTGGCTGAGTTGCCCCGATATACCAGGTATTGTATTATTCAGCATTTATGGCTTCTGACCTTGTAGGGAGAGCCCAGTATGGGGACCACTTAATGATAAGAAGCAGTAGGGGGGAGGAAAGTAAGCAATCAAGATTGCCACTTGTTTCAGTCAGTCAGTGCAGCAGTGTAGAAGCCTCATATTGTTGTCTTGCAATTGTGCTGTGTTAACATGCCACCTGTTTTCTCCAAGTTAGGTTCTGAAACATTACGCAGTCAGAGCAGAGTAATTGTCACGATTGCCTGCAATTTTATGAAAAGGGAGGCAAGAAGTAAGGATAAAGTGACTTTGCCAGTATACTTTAAAGAAATACAGAAAGTGCAGAAAAGAGTGTCAGAAGCTACTGGAGTGTCTGAAAGGACAATTAGAAGGATTCTGAAAGAGCAAGAGGAACAAAGCACTTCATTTGGAATGCCTGGCAAGAAGCACGACGTCCCTAGGCGAATAATCGAAACAGAAGACTTTGATAAATGTGTTGTTCGGTGCAGCATCCATAATTTCTATGCACAGGAGGGAACTGTTCCAACAGTTGCTAAATTACTTGTAAAGCTCAAAGAGAGCACTGATTTTAAAGGAAATTGTTCAAGCCTCAGAAGAATTATTAGGGACCTTGGTTTTAGGTGGAAGAAGACCAGGTTAAACAGAGGGGTGCTCATTGAAAGGCACAATATACGATCTATGTGCGTATCATACTTGACTGCACTCAGAAAGTACAAAGCCAGTGGACATCCAATCATATTTGAAGACGAGACTTATATTCATGGCAGCCATACCAGACCGAAGAATTGGACTGACGATAGTGATTCCAGTTTGTTGGCGCCAACATCAAAAGGCGAGAGACTTGTCATTGTTCATGCTGTAGGAAGAGCAAGCTTTATTTCAAACGCACTTCTCATATATAAATCTAGGCAGAAAACCAGAGATTATCACAATGTAATGGGCAGTAAAAATTATGCCCGTTGGTTAAAAACAATGCTAATACCAAATTTAACACCAAACTCCATTCTGGTCATTGATAACGCCTCATATCATAACACTCAGATAAACAAACCACCGACATCTAACTCAAAGAAGGACGAAATGAAAGCCTGGCTATTGGAAACAATCATCCCATTTTTTGACAACATGTTGAAAGCTCAACTGTATGATTTAATCAAATTAAATAAGTCAAAGCACAAATGTTATGTGATTGATCAGATTTTGGCAGACAAAGGGCATATTGTGCTGAGACTTCCGCCCTACCATCCCGATTTAAACCCCGTTGAACTTATTTGGGCAAATGTAAAACAATGGGTTGCAAACAAGAACACAACATTTAAAATAAAGGACGTCGAGCAACTGTGTCGCCAGAGATTCAAAGGAATTGGACAAGAAGAATGGGAGAATGTATGTCGGCATGTGGAAAAACTAGAACAAATTTATTATGAGCAAGGAGGCATAATCAAAGACGCTATTGAACGCATTATAATTGAAAATAATGCAGTGGACAGCAGCGGCAGCAGTGATGAATCGGGTGATATGTCAGAAGGTGAAGGTCTGTCAGGAGTGGAAGAATTGGAAGAGGACTAAAGAGTTGTGAAGAAGATAAAATTGTCTAATACTCTCTGCAGTGTTAATTTTCTAGTGATGCGTAGTGTAGTGAAATCGACTTACCTGTGTTACATATCGTGGTGATATTTTATTTGGAGTGTACTGTATGCGGCCTCCTGCCATCCATTCTGGTAAGTGACTCGCTCCAAGGTTCCAATTCACAAAACGCAGCGGCCGAAAATGCTGGAACCAAGTCTAATTGTGCCATGTCCCTGGGGAAGCACCAACCTTTACAAATGCCATCAAGATACAGGCGATGCTTTCAGTTAACAGATGTATTTATTCACGGTATTTTGTTTAAGCAATTCAAGACCCATGCTCTAGACACTCTGCTCACTGTGACTGGTATATTTCTAGACAATAATAAATTAAATGAATATCATTCCATTATTTTAACTGACTGCAGAATGGCATGGCAAGAACTGTCTGAAAACCATGTCAACATTGCAGTATACATGAGCAGGCTTTGTTAACTGAATTGTCATCTCTTTGCTGGAAGATAGTACACACATGCAGATCAAATATACAAGAGAGGTAGGAGCATTTATAACAATAAGAAGCCACAGAGCATCTATGGAATGTTAACACAGGTATTTTTTGACTTTTTCAACAAATTATGTAGACCCAAACATGAAAAGTGCTCCCTGATAGTGTTTAAAATCAGACCAGATGAAAGAACCGATTATTGCGGTGGCGGTTGATACCCAGGAAACCGACTCTGATCATAAGCTCCATACTGGCCTTGGGGTGGAGGACCCTGTGGCCCAGGAGGTGGCATTTGCGAAGTTGGGGGTCGTGGATATTGATATGCAGCTTGTGATGGTGGAGGGTATGTCTGAGGTCCATAGGCTTGGTGAGTATGTCCAGGATAAGAATGCTGTGATCCAGGAGGATGTGGAGGATAGGTCTGAGGTTGACCTTGTGGACCTCCTGGAGGTGGTGGTACATAAGTCTGAGTTGTAGCAGGAAGAGACTGAGGTGGTGGGAGACCATAACCACCTGGTTGCTGAGGTTGAGGACCAGATGATGGGGGTCCCTGAGGGCCAGACTGGACCTGTGCTGGCTGAAATCCTGTTTGAGCTGATGTAGTACTCTGTGGTGATGGCTGTTGCTGCTGAGGCTGCTGTTGCGCTTGTGGTTGTGGTGGAGGGTAACCCCCACCTGCCTGTGTAGAAGGAGGGTAACTCTGTTGCGGTGGAGCACCGCCAGGTCCTTGTGGATATGTCTGTGTTGACGCTGATGGAGCCATACTAGTAGAGACTGCTGTCTGTGAGTAAGAGTTCTGCGGACTAGGCTGAGGTGGACCTCCAGTAAAGGGTGGTGATGCAGCATTTGAAGGTCCATATCCAGTAGGTCCTGGTCCAGGGCTAGTTTGGTTGCTGTAACTGCTTTGATTTGGTTGCGACGGTGGTTGCTGGGACTGTCCTTGTGTTGTTGGAGGCACATATGTACCAGGCTGAGATACTGTGCTGGGGGCTCCTCCACCACTGCTGCCACCACCTCCACTAGTAGTAGATGAAGTATTTCCACCACTTCCTGCATTTGCTCCTCCATATCCTGGTTGCTGCTGCTGCGGGGGTTGGTAACTACTGCTTCCACTTCCATTGCTGGCAGTAGCATTATAACCTTGTCCAGTTTGTGTAGCTGACTGGACCACTGGTCCATAACTTGTCTGAGATCCAGAAGAGCCATAGCCAGGCTGTCCTGTTCCTGGACCATAAGTGCTTTGCTGTGGTCCTGTGGCAGCTGGTGGAGGGTAGACTGCCTGCTGTGCTGGAGGAGGTGGTCCATAGCCAGGTTGTTGACCTGGACCTGCAGGACCATTACCATAACCACCAGCTTGCTGTGTTGGGGCTGGACCACCATACACAGCACCTGTACTGACCTGTGAAGCTGGGTTTGGAGGGGGCCCATAGTTTGGTTGTGATGATGGAGGTGGCCCACCATAGCCCTGAGATTGGGTGGATGTAGGTCCTCCATAGCTGCCTGGTTGAGTTGAGTTTGGATAACTACTCTGCTGCTGTGCTGGAACTGGCTGTTGGTTTGATTGTTGTTGAAGTGGGGGAATATATGTCTGTAAAATACAAAAACAATTTTCTTTAATTGGTTTCTCAAATCATAGTTTTCTGGACTGAAAAAAGAAAAGAGGTCGCCACATTAAATGCCACCAAATGTGACTGGTAAAATTTCATCATACTGCTGCAATGTGGCAAAGTGCTCATAATCATAACTGTCTGTACAAAAAAGTATCCGACCCTGGGCCGGGAAAACAAAGTTCTGTATCTGGGGGGTTACAATACCCAATCCCCTTCAAAGTAGGCCCCTTGTGACTCGACACACTTAGCCCAGCGGTCCTTCCATTGCTGGAAGCAATTCTGGAAGGCTTGTTTTTGAATGGTGTGCAGCTGCACCATCGCGTTCTGTATGATGTCCTCGCGGCTGTCAAATGGGAGCCTTTTAGCAGTGTCTTCATCTTCGGGAACAGCCAGAAATCACAAGGAGCCATGTCAGGAGAGTAGGGAGCCTGGTGAACCTGCGGAATGCCGTGTTTGGCCAGGAAACCCTGGATCAGGTGTGATGAATGAGCTGGGGCGTTGTCATGATGCAGCTGCCAGTTGCGTGTGTCCCACAGCTCCGGTCTCTTGCGCTGAACTGCATCACGAAGATGACGGAGGACTTCTTGGTAGAACTCCCTATTGACAGTTTGGCCTAGTGGTGCGTACTCATGATGCACAACACCCCAGTAATCGAAAAAAACAGCCAGTATCACCTTCACATTGCTCCGAACCTGTCATGCTTTTTTGGGCCTCAGGGATGTTGGATTAAAAACATGTCTGTACAAAAACACTCGTACACTGCTACTGAGTGAAGCAAACAAGTTGACACTTGCGTCACTGGTAGAGGACAGATCAGGGTCAAATATGGTCTCCTTATTTCGCCCTCACCATTATTGTTTGCCTATTTACAGCATCAGGCTCGTTATTTCTGTGGCAGACCTCGTATTTTGACTGAGTTTCTTACACTGAAATTTCATTGTATTAAGTGAAACTGAACTTTGTATAATGCAGTACCTGTGCAGATGTCTGGTTCTGATTAGGATACTGTCCAGGGTAACTCTGCTGAGGTCCCGGTTGTGGATAATTCTGGGGACCACCTCTGTATTGCTGGTTTCCTGAACCTGCACCAGGACCTGAAATTAATTCAAGGTAAGAAAAATATGCTTCTACCTGCAGAACAAGTTCATCCAATTACCTGGTGTTAAAGTGATCTGGAAGTGAAGCTAACCATTCACCTCCATCTAGTGCCAATGTGTGTAGAGCTAAACCTGCACTCCACCGCATATCCGTATGTGTAGTGTTTCGTTAAGTCATCGGGGACAAATTTATCAATCTTACTAATAAAATGTTACATGTTACCCTCTTGCCTTACAACAGGGTAGAAACACCCATGTCCTGTGGAATATGCTTATGGTTGACTGAACTGGTCTATACTGTCTGGATACATCACAATATTATTATAAATTGTATATATTCACAAAAATAGCATCTGTAGGCTTCTTAGACTGCCATAGATTCATCTTCTTTGTGTAGTGCCTTTTCCTACTAGACGTATGTGCCAACTTCTGGGAGCATCTACTGGGTTCTAAATTATGCCACCAGAACTCACATTTTCTGGGGTGGGGTAGAATATTTGCAGACTGTGATGAATGACTACTAGAAGTATAAAATAAGATGTCAAATGTTTGGGTGCAAAGTCCATTCGTGAGAAAAGTAACCAAAGTGTTGTGGCAGTCTTTGCATTAAAACCAGAACACCTGCACATGTGCACGCACGCACACACATAAATATACATATCGTTTAACAACGGTTTCTGTAAACATTTTAACCTTGGACAGTGGACAAAGTCCTAAAACCCAACAAACCCAACTACATAGTACCAATGAGAGGACAACAGTGAATAATGAATTGGAAAGGATGGTAGTCTCTATCACTAGTCAGTGATAGAGACTAGCTCTTTCTGATGGACCTAACTAAGTAGGTACCTTCCTTCTCACCTGAAAATGAAAACAGCCAGTTTCCGAAACATTGTGGTTTTCCTTTTAAACAAAGACGATGGAAAAAGTACAGATAGCAAATAATTTTGAGTGTTCTTGCATGCTTATCTGGTCTCCCAGCAGTTAAAACATGTCAAATCAACATGAGTTCAAAACATCACCTAATCTGATTTTAATGAAATTTTGGTCATGCATTATAACCCATTGGAAAAGAGCACATGCAATCTTTCATAATTCTGTTCAAATTATTCAAGGAGATGCTATTATTAAATTTTTTAAAAACTGGAAAAATTTGCATCATACATGATCACAACCTTAATTATAACTCTGGTTCTGCATGACATGTACAGCTGTAGTTGAACTTATTTTAATCCAAAAGAGGTGAAATAATAAAGGAAACGTTTGAAGAAAGATTCCTGGGTTACAAGCCACATCAAGTGGCTGAATGGTGAATAAACCACATCTTCCGCCAACATTTCGAGAACAACCTCTGCTCTCACCCTCATGGTTGCTGGGAAACAAATTTGATCCTTTGTTGTGATGAGAAGTCCGCAGTAGCAGAACATAACATAAATACAGGGAACCTCATCGACTTCTGTAGGACCTCGATGTTGAACAAGTCATCAGGATATATGGACTGGCTTGTAAAAGAAGCCACTGAGATCTGCCTGAATGACAACTACTTCAACAGGGATGATGGTTTCACTCTGAGCTGGGCCTGGTATCCTGTAACAAAACTGCTGTCTGCCTAGAAAGCTGAGCCAGCTAGTGCGAACATGTGACCTCAACTGCCAGTTCCCATTGGCCAGCATGAAACAAAGGATCAGATTTGTTGCCCAGCAGCCTTGAGAATGACAGCAGAGATTGTTCTCAGAACATTGGCAGAAGATATGGTTTATTCACCGTTCTGCCACCTGACGCAGCTTGTAACCCAGGAATCTTTCATCAACTTCAGTCACCGCGAAAGATTCAATGTATGCAAAGGAAACTTTTACAGGTAGCCCTCGATTTGTGCCGATTCAGAATAACGCCGATTTTGAAACCTGAAAGTAAAAAGTGAAAAAAATAAATTTTACTATTATTTATAACATTTTACAATGTATCTCATACTGATTCTTATAATAAATCGTAATTCTTACAACAGTGATTTTGAATAAAAATTATAAATAGTCATCTCTGCAATTACGTGTGTTTCGTTAACGCGAATTTGCTCCAATGAGATCGACGCAACAATCGCATAACACCAGAGATGACTGTACACATCAAACACATGAAAGAATCACAGTCAATTGCTGGGACCAACGAATTGCTGATTGCAAGTGTATAAAATATATTTTAAAATTCCCTTTATTTTATTTACGTTATTTCGGAGCTTTAAATGTAATGCCATTATATTTCTCGTCAATGTTTGGGTGCTGGGAACGCATGTCATTGACTTTCCATTGATTTACATTATAAAAAGAGTTTCAATTTATGCCGGTTCGTCCAGGAACGCATCCCAGGCGTAAATCGAGGGCTACCTGTATTTCGATATATAATCTGTGTTTAGTTTGGAAGATAAAAACTTAAGAGCTTTTCCTTATCCTTTGGGAGTAAGGAAACCAAATCCTGGCAGTGCAGACAAGGGAACTGATACGTACACAGACATTATATTTACAGAATCACTTAATCTTAGAAAACAGTTGTACATATTAAAAATGGACTTAAACTCAGTACTTACGTTGTGGCATGTTCTGTTGCCCTTGCATCATTTGACCTCTGTAACCTCCCTGTTGTTGCCCAAAGGAAGCCATGGCTCCCTGAGAAACAGGAGGAAGATCACTAGTGGGTGCTGATGTTGACCCGGGTGGGCCACCAGCCTGTCCTGCCGGACCATGCATTCCATGCTGTGGACCTCCTGGGGGCTAAACCAAATTATGAAAATCCTGAAGTTACAAAGACACTAAAAGTGAAAACTAATGTCTGTCAATGTATGACCTGAAGCTTCCATGGTGACTAACATTAATAAAATCTTCTCCACCTATCAAAGTCAGTATTTAATTGGCATGGCTGATGGCCCAAGAAGATTTTATTCATGTCTGTCAATTAACTGAATCTACAAATGAAGCAGTATTATAAACAAAGCACTTCAATGTTTAGTTTAGCATGTTTTCCTAGATACAGTTCACTTCAGAGATGACAGGTATTTATAGTTAGTGAGGCATGAGAGTAGATGTAGTCGCATATGTTGTTGCCTGTGATGGTAGGGAGAAACTGCGTGTGCTACTAATGTATTCCTTACCTAAAATCACTGTTTAAAAAAATCTGTTGCAGTTGTAAGTCAGATTTAATGGATACATTCTAAATAACCATATATTTTAGATGCTTTATTTGATTGATATTTACAATGAATGAAGTTTGTAAGTGCAGTGCCACTATCAAAGTGCTGATTAGGCATATGATTGGATGTTGTGACTCTGAAGCACAAAATAATACTTCACTAATTCCTGTCAGTAAAGCAATTAACAGGGCAGCAAAATATTGTGAAGTTTCTTGGTGCACAATAAATAAAATCAGAAGGAGGGCAAGGCGCACTCAAATGAATTTCTCAGGATGCCAGCAAAGACGCGGAAAAGATCAGAGAATCAGAAAACTGTTTTAAATGACTTTGACCGACATACTACCAAAAATGTAATGCAGGAATTTTAGGTGAATCTGAAAACAGTTCCAACTTGTAAGAAGATTCAATCCATCTTAAAGGAGAAAATAAGACTAATTGAACCTGAAGGTACATTCTAAAAGAGATGGGACTTCAGTGGAAAACTGCCAGCTGCAACTTCAAAAATACAGCTCTGGTAAGTCAATGTTCAATTAAAATTATAATTTATATCAAAGACATAAAGTCTCAATGTACAGCACATACACAGTAGTAAAGCGTAGTTAAGATTCCATACAACTTGCACTCCAACTTGATACTCTGATGCTAAATCAAAACAGTATCTCCTACATAGGTCAACAGTAGCCAATATTTTATTTAACTAGAATGCAATAACACTACCAGACATTAAATGTGTGTTACAGAATATTTCATGCTTTCAAAGATCTTGTTTGTGAGTGATGGCAACATACTGTAGATTCAGAACACTGGCAGTAGTCTACAGCTACTTGATGCCATCACGCAGAAACAGGATCCACATTATCAAATCTGAAAACACATGACAAGCAAGATTTATAAATATTCTGGCTTTTATCTTAAATTATATATGTTTAGGAAAACTGGTTGAAAAGAAAAATGCAGAATATAAGGTTTAGGCAAACACAACAATTTTAAAGAATCACCTTCAACAATAGCAGAAGTAACTTCATTACTCTCATCCTTGACTCTCCTGTAGCCAGATGAATATTACGACTGACAAGAGTATTGGTGACGGCTAGAGTTCTAAGCATACTTACCTAAGAACTGTCTACAGAGCGAGTTAATACAGGTATTCCAAGTCATAAATCTAGAAATAAACTTAAAATACTGCAATCCATCAATAATTATAAAAAGCAAACTAGAAATAAAATAAATAATTTTCTGCACATATAAGAGAAAGCTGAAGGAAGTATTGTTTCTATACTTACTGGTAGGAGTGCTTGTATATTTTGATTTGAATCTGCAATGGAGGCAAGATATACTAAATTGCGATGTAATATTTGCTGATACCTGAAACCAAAATGGTTAATCATCTAAATGTGATCTTAGTAGCTGCATCTCATCATGCAGTGCTGGAATTCTTACTCTTCTGTAATGCAAATCCAAACCTTAACTGCAAGATGTAACACTATTTTACTGGCACCTACTCTTCAGTAATGCAAATCCAAACCTTAGCCGCAAGATGTAACACTATTTTACTGGCACCTAAAGGCCCTTAAAACCATTGTATTTAACATCTGGCAAACTTACTTATACAACATTCCCATGAAGAAGAGATGGCATTACCAGTGGAATGATAGCTTCAAGCAAACAATAAAGAGACTGCATTCCATTCCTTCAATTCAACAGTTTATAAAAAAAATAACAACAGAATGGAAACTATCATTTAAATTTTGCCTTCCTATTCCACTTGTTGTCCAAGTATTGGTGGTAATATATGTTGATCTCCTCTACCAGCAGAGCAATAATTGATGCAAAGTACAACACGAAAGAGTTGTATGGAGTCTAGCCCTTGTTGACATGGGATGCCTCAATTGTCATTTGTCTTGTGGATGCATGAATTAAACTGCTGCAACAAAGTCTAAGGGTGGCCACACATGCTACGGCTCACTGTAAGGCCTGCCTTCCAAGTTAAAGCCGGAAGGTAAGCCTCAAACCTCTGAGAGTCCACACACATACAGACTTTGTGGCAAGTTTGTGCTCAGTCTTTTTATTCTTCAGTCGATGCTACAACATGTTCAGTGAAGACGATGCGATTTTAATCGGTCTTGCTGTTACTTTAATGTTGAAAAAGAAAAGAAAGTTGAAATGTTGTAAGTGGGCCAGAAGTTGGTTAGATGCATCAAAACATTCTCACATAAATTTGTTGAATGAAATTCGATTAGAGCCGACGGACTGGCATAACTACTTGCAAATGGATGAGGACACATATTTGGAACTGTCAAACTTAGTTTAACTTAGTTAAACTACGGATCTGAAGTTCTCGACGTCTGGCTGAGAAGACTAAATGCTACAAACCTTGCCTTTACCCTCGTCTCTACCCACACACGTTACGACTTGTAAACATTCAGTAAACCTCGAGGCAAAAAATCAAGCGACTGCAGATTTATCGGAGGCTCAGTTTCCGGCCAAATTCACCACAGATGCTCCAGTTTGCTGGAAGGTTTGCCTTCAGAGACGTAAGCCATAGCGTATATGGCCACCCTAACAGCGAAGTCAGTTGATATTATAGTACAAAAGACTACTTTGTAGAAGATTAATATTTATTTTGATTTTTACTGTCACTTCCATTTGTTGTTCTTATAGCAATGTTTATCTTTATGTACAACCATATTTAAAGGCAAGGATTTTGAAAAGGGTATAGGAACAAAAAAATAAACTGAATTTCAAAATCTGCTAGTATTCAAGAATATATTCCTTGTGTGTAAGGCAGTATGAGCATAAATGATGCAATTAATTCAATTCATTAAACTGATTGCTAATGATATAATTGTAATTACATCACTGGGCACTTAAGTTCCAATTTGGTATCCATTAAGCTTCATATTTTTCAATGTGGCCTACAATTTGAATAGGTTTCACACTCCTGGTACATATTCTAATCTTTGTATTTTTAGACGGGAAGGAAGCCAAAAGATTGTAAACTGAATGATAGCGTGCATTTTCTATATGTAATTTCCTCTTAATTTATTCCTAAATTTTCAAAAGCAAATACTATATTTATATCAACAAATCCTCATGAATGGTTTACTCATCACCCTGATGATTGAGGTAGCAAGCACCTCTGAAATGTCAGTAACTTATACTAGACTACATGGTGAAACAACCCACAAGACAGTCATCTTCATAGTCCCTGCTGTGAGAACCTAAAATCTCACTAATTTCAAGCCTGACTGGTAGGTCATACTAAAGCAGGCCTCACTCTTTTAACCACTTAAAATTGTCTTTCAATACATTCCCATTTAATATTCATGAACTTTAAACAAATATGACAAATTACCATATGTAAAATAATACACTTAACATTAATATTGTACACTCATTTAAATACTCACTGCATGCATTCCTGTGCTTTCCCTTTACTCTGATATTCTTGAATTGTTTGAATCAGATGACTGTTTTCATCCAGCATCTGTGACAAAAAAAATTAAACAGTTCAGACAGCTGAACAAGAAACAGAAAAAAATAACTCTCAAATTGCAACCTGACACCAATAGAGATCACTGAGAATACATCCACCCTTTGAAATCTAGAACTGAGTTACAAGGAAATGCAAATTTTAGAAACACGTTTTTTCAAACTTTTTTAAACTTAAAATTCTTTCCACTTAAATTATGAGTTAGGTTAAATCTAACACAATCTTCTCAAAGCGTGAAAAAAGAGTGAATATTTCTGCCTATTATATTTTAATACACAAGTCTGCACTCCTCCCCCAGTATTGTCAGCTGATTAAGTAGAGAAGAATGAGATGGGCTGGGCATGTAGCGCGCATGGATGGGACAAGAGGTGTGCACCGGGTATTGGTTGGGAAACCTGAGGGGAAGAGACCTCTTGAAAGACCTAGACATAGATGGGAGGATAATGTCAGGCGGGATCTATGGGAGATAGGAGTCAAAGGAGACTGGATTTTGTTGGCCCAGGACAGGGTCCGGTGGAGGGCTTTGGTTAATTCGGTGATGAACCTTCGGGGTTCGGTAAGCCATCTGGTTGGTTAGTTAGTTACCAATGTTAAAACCTTTCTTCCACCATATTTTATTAATTCTAAATTAATATACCCAGGTCCAGGAGATTTCCTGCTTTTCACAATATTTATTACTATATCTACTTCTACATCTGAAACTGTTAAATTTGTGCTTTCCATTTTCCATTCTTCCTCTTCTATAAATTCAGTTCTATCTTCTGTAAGTAACGTACTATAAAAATTATATCAATCCTGCATTGAGATAAAATCTGTCTTGGCTGCTTTAAGTTATCTCTGCAATCAATTAACAAAGGAACTATCCCAGGACAACAAAGTTATTGAAAACTGAAACTTCTGTATAAAAAGGATATAAAGAACCTTGCATCTCCAACTATAGGCCAGTTTAATTATTAACAGCATTTTCCAAGAGCTGAGAAGCTGCATACAAGAGAACAATTGATTTCTTAAACTCTATGTTCATTATACGGTTCTCTGCCTTTCCTCTTATGTATTATTGATCTACCCCAACCACCAATTCACAATTAACACCTATATTCTTTGCTGATGATACTAGTATTATCATTTATCATCATGACATAGACTACTTTAAAAAGTACCATTAATGATGTCTTTGCTAGACTGAACAAATGGTTCAAAGAAATCTGTACTGTAACATTGTGTTGTGTTAAGCTGATCTTGGTTTTCCCTGTACATCACTTTTCACACACTCAGTTCACTTGAAAAGCATGTTTCAGAACAACGTGACCATCATCAGATTTAATTCATTGCTTCTATGTCACTGTAATAAGGATCTCCTCGATTATGTCTAGAAATAATGATAAAACTATATATTAAAATTGAAGTTTATAATTTAGTTAAAATGGTTAAAAGTTAAAATGCCAAAATTGATTAACAATACTATTTTTATCACAGGCTGGCGAGTCACAGTGAATCATTGTAGAATTCCATTCTACGACACACCACATATATAAATTTCGCTACAACAGAACTCGTTCAATATTAAATGGTTGAATGGTGCTATACCAACTTCGAATTACTGTGAAATACACTACATTTTATATAATTTATTATATACTCTTTGGGGCATTTGGAGCAACGTCTTACGTATACTTGTCACTATTCTAAAGGTTAGCCAGAACTCTAACAACAGAATACGCTTACGACAACGAAATTTAAACATAAGATCAAGCAATGCTAACTTTCTGGATCTGAGCAGGATTGGGTGGTTGTCTTCCTCGTTGTACAAATGCCACCGACATTGCAACTGACTGTCTCGTCTTCAACAGTAGACTTTTCAAATATAAATTGAAAATAAAAATACTTCTTTATGCGTATTATCTTCAAGTCAACAATGTTACACAAGTCTACACAATATTTTAGAACACCTCAATGACAAACAACTTTTTACCAAAATACTACAGACGCACACATCACCATCACTCCTATCAATTTTCTTTCGCCATTCATTGCTGCCAACATATGAAGTGTTTCATATTTCCGGGATATGGTAGATATTATCTGAACACTCTGATTTAATACTACATGTCAGTGCAGATTTGCAAGTAAATATTTAACTTAAGCAACATGATTATAATAATAATTATAATAATATTCCTTGAAACAAATACAGATGAACCTTCTGAATTTCTGTGTAAAATAATAAAGTTTTTAACCAACCACAACCGCTACCGCCAGGCTTCAGTATTTTGTCACGTGATAAGCTTCAGCTGAGAGTAAATGGCGTCGTATTGGGTGGGGATTGATTTACTGTGTTTTTAAAATCATGAATGAATTCGTTTCAGAGAAGGCAAAAGTGAAATATTTTTCACAAAACAATGAATTGTAAGTATGAGGAATTAAACTGTGAATACTGTATATGTACGTTACTTCTGCTTGTACCGTTACATTAGAATGAATTTCACGTGTACATAAGTTTAGTAAACAAATTACAGTATTACATGACATGATAGAAATTAAACGTTAGGCA